TCCTTTCTAAGATTGTTTATACCATGGTGGAGAGTTACAGATTTGAAACTTGCTATTAGAAACATCTTAGACACTATGGAACAAATCACTGGTGATGTAGTGAATGTCATAGCTGCTCAAGAAAAGTCTTTATATTCACTAGCTAAGGTAGTTTTAGATAATAAAATTTCATTAGATTTCTTATTGGCCCAATAGGGAGACATCTGTATCATAGCTGATACTTCAAGCTGTACCTAGATCAATACTTCATGGAAAGTAGAACATGGTATTGCAAAAATATTCCAAGGAGTAGCAACTGGGATCTTAAAAGCTTGCAAGCAGCCATCTAGATGCAATGATGTGTCTCTCCTCATCTAGAGCAAAGAAGAATGAAGAAAGCCAAAGATTCATGGAAAAAATTAGTCCTCATGACTGGTACACCATCCAATCTGCAGCCTATACAACTGAGACCAGAAGAACTAGATGGTGCTCAGCTACTACTGTCAACCACTCAGGGGAGACCTATGTAGGAGATCCTGGATAGAGAGGGAGAACAATGTGGAACAAAACTCAAAATCATTTAAAAAAAAAAGGGGGAGTGGCGGCAGAGACCAGGTTTGCTGGTCTGATAGATCCTGGTGGAATGACTGAGACTGGCCCCTAGCTGCCCTTCAGGTCTGGAATTGAACCCACACCTGTGGCTTCCAGCCAACAAAAGACAGGCATAAGAGTTGAACATGAACCTGAGGTAGATACATCCCTTGGAGAGAAAAATCATGGGAGAAAGAGGGGCTGTTTACGCATAGGGAGACAGTTCAGAGGGCAGGAGTGCATGGAGGGATGGACACAGGGAAGAGGTAACTAGTGGGAGGGGAGCAGATGCATTGGGGTAAACTGTCATTGTCATCAGACAACATGTATGTGAACTGCTATATGGAAAGTGAATTTGCTCTGTAAACTTTCACCCAAATCACAATAAAAAATAATAAAAAATAATAAAAAACATGCCAGGAAGTCACCTGGTTCCAAATATCTGAACAAACTAGATTTTTGTTGTTCTTGTTGTTGTTAGGTGCCATTGAGTTGTTTCCAACTCATAGCAACCCCATGCACAGCAGAACGAAACATTGCCCAATCCCACATCAGCTTCATGATCCCTGCTATACTTAAGCCCATCATTGCAGCCACTGTGTTGAAGGCCTTCCCCTCTTTCATTGACCCTCCGCCCTACCAAGCATGACATCTTTCACCAGGGAATGGTCCCTTCTGACAACATGACCAAAATAGGTGAGATGAAGTCTGGCCATTCTCGCTTCCAAGGAACATTTCAGGTGCACTTCCACCAGGACAGATCTGTTAGTTCTTTTAGCAGTCCATCGTACTTTTAGCATTCTTCGCCAGCACCACAACTCAAAAGCATCAACTCTTCTTTGGTCTTCCTTATTCATTGTCCAGCTCTCACATGCATATGAGGCGATTAGAAATATCATGGCTTGTGTCAGGCGCACCTTAGTTCTCAAGGAGACATCCTTGCTCCTCAGCACTTGAAACAGTTGCATGGTGGTTGACCTTCCCATTGCTACACGTTGTCTAATGTCCTGAGTGCTGCTTCCATTGGCATCGATTGTAGAACCAAGCAACGTGAATTCTTTGACAAGGTTGGAGGATTCCTACTTCCCCATTTCAAAACTTACTACAAAGCTACAGTAACCAAAACAATGTGGTACAGGCATAAGGACAGAAATAATTTAGAGCTGTGACAGCTATGGGAAAGCAGTTGGAGGTACAGTTAGAAAGGTAGGCTGAGATAAAAACCAAAAACCAGACTCACTGCTGTAGAGTTGTTTCCAACTCATAGTGACTGCTCCTTGGGTTTCTGAGGCAGTATCTCTATGAAAGTAGATTGCCAAGTGGCTGCTGGGTTTGAACCACCAACCTTCTAGTTAGCGGTCAAATGCCTGAGATAAGGATGGTGAATTTACTCTGCAAGCAACAGAAAATCCCTGAAGGTTTTGCATAGGAATATGCTAAGAAGCTTTGGTGGCTAGTGGGGAAGGCACCCCGTACCAGTTGCTCTGTGGGAGGAAGATGAGGCAATCTACTTCTGTAAAGATTTACAGCCTTAGAAACCAATGGGGGTTGCTGTGAGTCAGAATCGACTCTATGGCAATGCATTTGGGGTTGTTTGTTGTTGTCTGGTATGCTACACTCATAGCAGCTCTGGTGGAGTAGTGCCTAAGGCATTACTCATATCCTGAGTGTGAGTGCCTACTTAAATTGTGCATGCTAGGCACCTTACTTGCCTTGCCCTACCCCCAGACCTGAGAGAGAGGTGAGATTATCCCCATTTTCTAAAAGGAAATCAGACCCAAGAAAACTGAGTCATGTAATCAAAAAGTATTATTGGGCATCCACTATGTGTCGGGGACTGACCACTTAATAATAAATAAGACATTATCCCTGATGACAGGAGTATACAAGGGGAAAACAGGCAATTACAATTCAATGCTGTGATAGGAGAATGAAGATTAACAGCACTGACTCTGGAGTCAGACTGCTTGGGTTGGGACCACAATTCTACGACTTCTTGTATGACCTCAGCCAAGAATAATACTGATAACTACTTCATGTTGTTGGTGTTGTTATGTGCCGTCGAGTGGGCCCCGACTCATAGTGACCCCTCCTTGGGTTTCCGAGGCAGTATCACTATGGAAGTAGATTGCCCCATCTTCCTTCCGAGGAGTGGCTGGTGGGTTTGAACCGTCAGCCTTCTGGTTAGCAGTCAAGTGCCTTAGGCACTATGCTACCAGAGCTCCCAACTACTTCATAGTGCTATAAAAATTTAAGTAAGCTAGTTATATAAAAGCATTTATAACAATGCCTGGAATATAGTAAGTGGTTTCTAACCATTTGCTGACATAGTTATGATGATGGTGATGCAGTACAGGTTGAATGGAAGCATAAAGAAATTACATTTCTATGTGCTTTGGAGGGAAGGAGTATAGTCGGAAGGTTTCTTGGAAGAGATGGAATCTGAGCTGAACACTGAAAGAAGAGCTGGTAAAAAAAATTAAGGAAAAGCATTTCAGGCAGAGTGAAGATGGGTAAAGGCCAGGAATGAAAACATTTGGGAAAATGTTCAGTTCAGCTGGAGACAAAATGTGAACTGAGCGGATAGGGAGCAGGTGGTGGATGGCACAGAACGAATCCTAAGGAGTAGGCTTAGTTCTGAGGGAGGGCAGAAACAAGTCAGCCAAGCAAGGCAATGACAAGATGGCATACAAAAAGCAGACCAGGCCAAGTTGCCTTTCCAACCTCCCAGTCTTTCTCTTAATGAGCATCCCAGCTTTGGATGATGACACTAAGTTATAAACCTCTGAGATCAATATCCTTGTATGTAATGTAATCATATCTATCCTTTGAATCATTGAAGGAAACCAAGTCCTGAGGGCTTCAAGGACTGTAACTATTTTCAACCAAAATTTATATTTTTGTCTGTATCAAAAGGCTACCCAAAAACCTGTCATGTGAGAACTGAAAACTAGCCCACCTTCCCAAAGCTGTTTTGGACTTCACTGCATTAGTCAAGGGAGCTCTGGTGGCTTAGTGCCTAAGGCATTTGACTGCTAACCAGAAAGCTGGAGGTTCAAACCCACCAGCCACTCCTCAGAAGGAAGGTTGGGCAATCTACTTCTGTAGTGAGATCGCCTTGGAAACCCAGGGAGGGGTCACTATGAGTAGGATCCAACTCAACAGCAGTGAGTTGTGGTTTTTTTGTTTTGTTTTTTGTTTTGTTTTTTGGCATTAGTAGAAAGACCTGGTGATCTGCTTAAGATTACAGCCAAGAAAATTCTATGGAGCAGTTCTACTCTGTAACACACAAGGTCGCTATAAGTCAGAATAGACTCCAGGGCAGCAAGATTTGTTTTGTTTTATGATTTGCATTAGTAGAAACAATACAAATGGTTTCCTACTTACTGTTCTATATTCTTCAGGCTTACCAAATTGTGTATCAAAAGAGGCCGCTAGAAGGAAAGAAAGACATTTTAAAGTACATAATTAAAGGTCAGTTCTTGTTCGTGAGGGTTTTTAACAATCCATCTGGTGGCTTATCCAAGGCACATGTTCTCTCCTTCCCTCTCATGTCTAGCTTCTTTGAACTACTCCCACTCCCCTAAAAAAGATACTCAGTCGTTTTCTGGCATCTTTCCTATAGGGAGGACAGAAAGAACATTCAAGGACAGAAAGAACATTGAGTTCAGTGCTGTAACTGACCATCCTAATATATTTGGTTGAGAGACCAAGGGACTATGATGCTTCCATCCCTTTCCCAGGCTCCAGACACTGCAGACTTCTTTCAGTCCCTTGAATTGGAATATGCACACACACACCCCAATGTCTTCACTAAGCTTTCCTTCTCATAAGGAGTTAAAGGGACTATGAAGCTATGGAATATAAATCAGAGAAGTAACTAGTAATTCATTATAGTCTCTTCCTCAGCGGATCAGAGTAATAAATGCAAAAATTAATATAATTTGTTGCTCCTTTAACTCCATTCTAAGTAGATGTCAAGTCCAGCGGGACTAAATACGCTTTCTTATAAGCCTCCAAGGCCCAGCACAATTGGCATTCACAATCCCTAATTCCTGTGCATCTCCTGCTGGGCTTTTAGTAGAGGCATTAAGTACATAAAAACCCAACTTCCGTGATTTAAGGCTCCAAAAGCCCCCTTTGGGAGAAAAAGAACCGAGAGCCCCCGTAGCAGGACGTCACTTAGAATGCGCGGGGTGAAACCCAAGCAAGGTCTAAGGGGGTAGCCAGCGCCGTAGATCTGACACCTTGGGCTCCTTGACCACTGGCTGCAGGGAAACGCCACGTAACAGGTGCGCAGGTAGGCACAATGATCACCCGGACACCAAGGGGGCTGCTGCCGGCCAGTCTCCTCTCTACCTCCCTCGGTTACTCCTTCAGGGTCTCACTTTAGCCAGTCCTCTACAAGCAGGCCCACTTGGGCGCGTTACCTGCAAAGTTCCCGACCAGGAGGAACACCAAGCGGACAGCGAAAAACGCCATCGTTCCTCAGCGGTCGACCAACCGGTGGCTGCGCGCTCTCGCTCAGTGGTGTCAAGACACCAGGGCGCGCGACGAGGTGTAAGGGTGGGGGAGGGAAAGGAGGAAAGGAAAAAGGAAAGGGAGAGGAGGAGGGGAGGGTGACCAGGGAAAGACATAGGAGATGGGGGAGGAGTAAAGAGAGGAGTGAGGAGGGGAGAGACAGGAAGACAGGAGGTTAAGAGTTGGAAGGAGAAGGGTGGGCAGAGATAGAAAGGGGGAGAAGGGAAAAGAGAGAAAGGGGGACAGGTGCTCTTCCTATACTTAAGAGAGAAGTTAGGAATGAGGGGAAAAACGTCTCCCTTGGGCGAACAGGAACCCCATAAGAACCCTGGGAAGACCCTTGTGGGCTCTGTAAGTTAGCCAACCTGTATTTCTTAACTATCTACTATGTGCCAAGCACTGCTTGGCACTGAAGGTACAGCCCTAAAGATACAACGAGGTCATTGCTCTCAAGAAGTTTCTAGTGCAGGTTTTGGGGGTGGGGTGAAAGAGGGAACTCCAAAACAAGTGAATAAATACAATAATTTTCAAAAATAAGTAATACAGTGTTTGGAGAGCAGGAAGACTTTCCATAGGGAGGTCAGGAAAGGTCTTTCATAGGTGACAGTTGAGCTGAAGACTAAATGATAAGAAGGAAGCTTAGTGAAGACCTTGAGGCATACATTCCAGTTCAAGGAAATCAAAACTACTATAGTTGGAGCCCTGGGAGCAGGAAGTAGAAGGGATGGGAAGGGAAGTGGAAGGCCGAGATCACATGTGGCTGTGTAAGCCATGACGTGGTATTTGGATTTGTTCTTGTTGCAGTGGGAAGCCAGAGGAGGCTTTTAGGCAAGGGAATGCCCTTGATCTAGATTGTTTTTAATAGAACGAATGAAGAAAAGACAGCTGGTAGGTAAGAGGGGAGGCAGAGAAACAAACTAGGTGGCTTTTACAATCATCCAGGCAAGAGATGATGGTGACTTGGATTAGTGTGTAGCAGTGGGCTGGCGAGAAGTGGTCAGAGTCTAGATTTTTTTGCAGGCGGTGTCAATGGAGTGAAGAGAAAAATTGAAGAGAAGAATCATGGATGCTTCCTAGGATTTCTGTCCTGAATAACTGGATGGATGATGGTGAAGAACATTTGGGGAGGATGCTTATTATTCTCCACATGGAGATGTGGAAAAGGCAATTGGAATTACAAATCTGGAGTTCTCAAGCGTTGGAAATATAAATGTGGAAGTTGCTCATATTGAATGTATCAAAAATGATGGGACCCAATAAGATTGCCAAGGGAGAGAGTATAGTGGAGATTCAGGATCAGAACCCTTTGTCTGGAACTGAACTCATTCCTGTGGTTTCCAGCCAAACAATAGACAGGCATAGGGGGTGAACATTTACATCAGGTAGATACACTCCTTGGAGATCAAGATCAATGGTGGAAGGAGAGAAGGACTACTTGCACAGGGAGATAGCTTGAGGAGCGGAAGTGCATGGGAGGGAAGGACACAGGAAAGAGGTAACTACGGGGATGAAGAGGGAAAAGAGCTGTTACATTCTGGAGGATTGCAGTCAATGTCATGAAACTAAATATGTATGAAATGCTGTATGAAAAATGAAGTTGCTCTGTAAATTTTCACCTAAATCACAATAAAAATTGGGGGAAAAAAAAAATATATATATATATATATTAGAACCCTGGAGTACTCCCATATGCAAAGGTCTGATTACTGTTATGAGGTTGAGAAATAGAAGGGCTGAAAACAACAAATGCTGGCAAGGATGTGGGAAGATTGGAACCCTTACACACTACTGGAGGGAATGTAAAATGATACAACCACTATAGAAAATGGTATGGTACTTCCTCAAAAAACTAGAAATAGAACTACGTTATGATCCAGCAGTCCCACTCCTAATAGAAATGAAACAGACATATGCACACCTATGTTCATTGCAGGACTATTGACAATGGCAAAAATATGAGAACAACCTAACCAATGTAAGTAAGTGGATGGATGAATGGATAAACAAATTGTGGTACATGCATTCATTAGAATACTGTACACCTATGTTCTGATTACCTAGTGCCACTCTGACAAGAATATACCACAAATGGGATGGTCTTAACAAACAGGAGTTTATTCTTACAATTTGGAGGCTTTAAGTCCAGGTTCAAAGTGCCAAGCTCTAGGGGCTGGGTGAAAGCCCCTCAACCTTGGAGTCCATCTTTGCCTCCTGCTCCCGGCCCACTGGAGCTAGAGGCATTTCTTCTCTTAGACAGCTGCTGGCTGCTGGGGCTGAGAAACCCCAAGGTTGACAAGTAAAAAGGCACAGTCCCAATGTTACCAAACCACAGGGGAGGCCATTAACTTAAGTCCATTGTAAGTCCCAATGTTGGCAAAGCATAGCAGGCTGCTCAACAAAGACATGGCTGCATGCAGGGTCCAAGCACGCCATAGGCTAGAGACCATTCCCAAAACTGCTGCTTATATACAGGAAGCAGACCACATTCCCAAAGGCAGCTACTAAGCTGCTTGTGGTAAATCCCACCATGGAGTTGATTGCCAGTCTCATCATGGGGAATAACTACCACCAGCTGCCCAGCCACTCAACCAGGCCCAGCCAAGTTGACATGCAAACTGAACTACCACACCTATAAAGAATTGGGAGCTCTGGTAGCATAGTGCGTAAGGCACTTGACTGCTAACCAGAAGGCTGGCAGTTCAAACCCACCAGCCACTCCTTGGAAGGAAGATGGGGCAATCTATTTCCATAGTGATACTGCCTCAGAAACCCAAGGAGGGGTCGCTATGAGTCGGGTCTGACTCAAAGGCACATAACAACAATGACAACATAAAGAATAATGATGAGCTCTTGAAACATAGCATGGATGAATCTGAATGACATTATGCTGAGTGAAATAAGTCAATCACAAAAGGACAAATATTGTATGATCTCAATTTTATAAAAAGACAAGAATAGGTATACATACAGAAGTCAGCATTCATTGGTGGTTACCAGGAATGGAAGGCGGAGGGAAAGGCAGTCACTCTTTGGATAGTAGACATTTGTTATTTTTGGTAATGAGAAAGGCAGTACCAAATGTTGGTGAAGTCCACACAACTTGACCAATGTAAAAGATGATACTAAGAAGTATAAAAGATTAAGGGACATTTTTTGTAAATGCTATAATGTATATAATTTTACAACAACAACAGCAATAATAACCAAAATATGTGTGTGGTTACACAAGTAAATATGTACACAATATGTGTATAGGATCCACTAACCTACTGCTGTTGAGTCGTATCCGACTCATGGCAACCCCTCCTTGGGTTTCCGAGACAGTATCACTACAGAAGTAGATTGCCCAACTTCCTTCTGAAGAGTGGCTGATGGGTTTGAACTGCTAGCCTTCTGATTAGCAGTCAAATGCCTTAGGCACTATGCTACCAGAGCTCCTGTGTATAGGAAGATATATGCATATATATGTGTGTGTGTGTGCCAAAACCACAATTCAAATGCATCAATTCCTCTTCAGTCTTCCTTATTCATCGTCCAGCTTTCACATACATATGAGGTTATTGAAAAGATTGTGGCTTTGGTCAGGCTCCCCATAGTCTTCAAAGACACAGCTTTGCTCTTTAACACTTTAAAGGGGTCTTTTGCAGCAGATTTGGCCAGTGTACTACATCATCTGATTTCTTAACTACTGCTTCCATGGGTGTTGATTGTGAATCCAAGTAAAATGAAATCCCTGACAACTTCAATCTTTTCTCCACTTATTGTGATGTCCAGTTGTGAGGACTTGTGTTTTCTTTATGTTGAGATGTAATCCATACTGCAGACTCCAGTCTTTGATCTTCATATAAGCAAATGCAAAGCCCCTAAGGTGATAGCAGAGAGGCTAGTGTGGCTGGGAACAGTGAATCAGGGGAGAGTGATAAGAGACCAGCAGAAGCCAGATCACATAGGTTCTTGTGGACCATAGTGAGAACTTTAATTTTTATACCTGACATGAATTGTCAGAACAACAAACCAATCTGTCCTGGAAGTAAGTGCTTCAAGTCACCTTTACTTTCAGCAAGCAAGGTTGTGTCATTTTCATATCACAAGTTGTTAATGAGTCATCCTCCAATCTTAATGCTGTATTCTTCTTCATATAGTCCAGCTTCTCAGATTTTTTGCTCAGTGTACAGATTGAATGAGTATGGTGAAAGGACACAATCCTGACACACACCTTTCCTAGTTTTAAACCATGCAGTATCCCCTTGTTCTGTTCAAATGACTGCCTCTTGGTCTTTTGGTCTACAGATTCCTCATGAGCACAATTAAGTGTTCTGGAATACACATTCTTCTCAATGTTATCCATAATTTGTTATGATCCACACAGTTCAATGCCTTTGGATAATCAATAAAACACAGATAAACATCTTTCTGGTATTCTTTACTTTCAGCCAAGATCCATCTGACCAATGGCCAACATTATTGTCAATGAGGAGAGACTAAAAGCAGGCCCTTATACATGGGTACCAGACAAGTATACCTTTTATCACCACACATATTCAATATTGTATTGAAAGTCCTAGCCAGAGTACAAAAGGCAAGAAAGGGAAATAAAAGACATTCAGACTGGTAAAGAAGTAAAACTATCTTTCTTTGCAGATGATGTGATCTTATACATAGAAAATCCCAAAGACTCAATAAGAAAACTATTGTAACAAATTGTAAGTTTCAGTAAAGTGGCAGGGTACAAGAAAAATATACAAAAATGAGCTGCATTTCTTTATACTAATGAAAAGAAGTCTGAAAAGGAAATCAGGAAAGCAATACAATTTACATTAACCACCTAAAAGATGAAATAGTTAGGAATATATCTCTAACAAAGAACACAAAAGACCTATACAGACAACTTCCGGTAAGATGGAGGAATAGGCAGACAAGCGACACAGACCCTCTTCAACAATGAAAAGAAAAACCAATTG